GAACGATAAGCTTATAACCTGTGGATCCGTTGTCTCTCATGGCTAGGTTTTACGGAAAGAGTGCCATCGGCCACTTCCTAATTTCCGAAGGATGGACTAGGGTACTGGTAGGGCGCCTACATCTGACAGGAGAACGACTCGGGTCCTCAGCCAAAGCCTTCGATTAAATGAACACCCGAAAGGCAGCGGGTCTAGCACATGGTCAGTTCACTGACTCATGCGAATTGGTGTCCTGGCTCTTAGCTAGGAGAAGTGCGAAACCCAACTCCCACCTAGGGATCAGCACGGCTCGCCCAAGACATGAGCCAATGGCACAACAGTAGCAGCAGTGGGTAGACCATCTGTCAGGATTTAGCCACCACCAGCCTCAGCGCACCATGGGCTCTCCCAAGATATATATATATATATATATATATATATATATATATATATATATATATATATATATATATATATAAATATATATATATATATATATATATATATATGAAATCATGCAGTGCCTCTCACGGGATCGAATGAACACTTGCTAGTTACTCATTTGATGTTTGGACTTACTGGGTTTCACAGTATGATTTTATGTTACTGTGACACTATTATACCACTTTTCGGGCACCTTTCTTACGCTGTGATGGTTTTAACTGATTAACTCGCTTTGCTCTGTTGATTTTCTTTACATCTTTTTGTTTATTACCAGCGTAACTGTATTGCTCCGTTTCCTTCACTAGTTTTGCAATGCCCGATTCATCGTTCAACGAGAATTATCCGACCACTTGGCCTTCAAACACAGTTCGGAGCGCCGTCATCAATGCCTCATTTGCGCACTGACTTTCAAGGTGAGTCTGATCTTACCACAGTTTTGGAACCTGGTTGTGATCTTTGCTTCCTAAAGCTTCACATGAGCGACGCTTCACTTGTGTTTGTATAGAACGATTGTGGGAACGCTAGTTCAGCAACTTAGCCGGTTAGTTGTTCAGTGTGCATCGACGTCACAGTGGTTCCTTAAGCACTATGTTTATCACAGAGCGGTCTACTTAATCAATTCATCGCTTAACATTGACAAGTAAGGCTTATCGGTCACGCTTGTCATGTCTTCCCACAGCATGGCGCCTCGTGGCCTTAAGGATCATAATCCTGCTTTGTATCCTGAGAGCGCAGGTTCGAGCCTGTCTAGGGACTAGATAACCTTCACAGTATCCTTAGCCCACGTGCGACTGGTGGTTGTTACGGAGCTGCGAAGCGTCGCTACTGCATACCGGCGTACTACTGATGCCAGCACACGGCCACCGTCATAATCATCAGTTGCAGTAGGACTATAGATCTCTTACAAACAGTAACGGATAAGTATACGCGGTGAAGAATTAGGTGAGATCGGAGGGGAGCCTCATTTGAAAACTAAGTGCTCTAGGCCAATATCCAAAATCAAGCTTCTTTCATTTTTCGGGGTTTCCTATGAAGATAAGGCGGCGTAGGCACCACAACTTGCTTGTGACCTGCACTGCTTCGCATGATATTCGGCCTTGCTGGCGGCACCGCCATCCACACACTGACCAAACAGTTCGGTGAGGAGGTCACGGCGTACGCACCACGGGTGCCCGTTAGGAATCATGCTCTCCAGGGTGCGTCGCCTGCACGATGCAACGGACCGATGGCATCCAGTCTATTGATCGGTGAGTTCGCTCCCCGCTCCCCGCGTGCTTTATGATACCATGTGGCCTCATTGCTAAGCAGTGGGTGAGTACACGTAATGTGTGCCCCAGCCTACATACCCTAGTCTCCCCCATTTGGTAATCTAACAGAATAGCCTGGTCATTGTCGTCGGCGAAATCACAGTGGCGCAATGACTGGGACTCACATACTAGCACATTGGGGAATTAAAGCAATCGATCCTAGTGAACGTGATGTGTCTCAGTTCCCTGCATCCACACACTGTCACCTGCCGCTTCGGCACGTTGGAATGTCGCCCGTGGGCTCGGCCAGTCAGTCGTGGTCGCCTATTGACACCCGGTGCATCGTGTCGTAATGGCCCTCCGTGCATCAGATAACCAGTCTTGGCCAAGGGTAACATTCTGTATTTTAGAAAAACACAAGCTCATTTTATACCTGCCATCAATTAGAGCCACTCACCAATTGGCTCACTCTATCCGGTCGATCCTCTGATGGGAATTATTTGAGCACTGTTGTCGCCAGTCCAGACCAATCCTCCAGTTGCTGTCATCGAATTGGATCTGTCGACGCGAGTATGCAAAATCTCGACCCGAGGTCATTAATGCAGGCTCGACAGCTACCACTACATCATCCCTCTTTCATCATCGTCATCCCCTCTTTCTTGTGTTGCGGTTGTCATATCTTCCTCCACTGCGGTCGAGCTTGTGGTCTAGCGGAATGACAGTCACAGTTAGTTCGGGTAGCAGCAGAACCGCAGTTGCGGGTGTCATGTGCATTCGTCTGCGAGTGAAGAAATCTTGAATCGAACTTGTCCCGATCCCGGTAGAAATCGCATTTCTTCCTTCAGGTACTATGAGGCGGAGATCTTAATACGTCTATTTGACGTGGAAAAGTCGATTTTGCGTTATCAGGGCCGCCTTCACTACACACGGATCGTCTGTTTAATGGTTACGTTCGTAGTGAGTCCCCGGTGTTTGCGTCGTTTGAATGCGCAGTGCCCTATCGGTTGACCGTGGAGCTTCGGAGTTGAGGAACGCAAGCTGGTGGCCAAGCACCAGCGTCACTTGCGGTCACGCAATGCATACGTACCATATGTGGATGCACTCAGGATGTAGAAAAGATGCGGATGGGGATGGGAGTGCGACCCACGTACTCCAGTGTTATGTGTAGTGGCGGCAGCATGAGAAAAGTTTGAATGCATGCAACTGACCGCGCGAATAGTGATGTGGGTTGCTTCCTCATCGGTTCGCGTCACTATATTTTAGACAATGAGGAAGCTAGAAGAGTGTTGGTATGCTTGCGGAATGGGTAGCGATCATGTGGGTTGCTGAACCGCATTATTACACATCTGGTAGCTGCCCTCAGCAAACAAAAGAGGTGACTAACAGACAAACGTGAATACTCGTGATCAACCAGCCAGCCTTGTTTCCGATCGGATGCATAAGCGGCACGGGTAGTCACGCGGTTCAGCGATAGTGAGCGTGAGCGTGTGTGTGTAGCGTGTACCCGTGTATGTCTATTGTTACTGAAGGTGGCAGTAGTGTGTGTGGTGTGTGAGTGTGATAGGTTTGCGGATTTAGTATACTGCTTGGTGGAATGAATTTGTCACATGCGGACGTGCGGCTAGGCGTGGTGACATGCGCCTGTAATCCGGCTACTTGGAGGCCTGGAGGTGGAATTTCGTGGGACCGTTAGTTCTGACGCTGGCACGTACATGTTGCTCAGGCGTCCATGTTAAGCACCGCCCCGATATGGGGAACCGGTCGGAGGGCTGACTCCCCAGGTCTTCTAAGGATGGGCGTGTACCGGCCCAGGGGGGAAACCCAGCAGACAAAAGTTCCCGCGTGGTGCGGTAGCGGGATAGCGCTTGTGAATGGCGAGCCAGTGATCAGCCCGGTCCATGCGTGGATACCGCCTCCTCTTTTTCCCTTTTTCACCACGGCTCACACACTAGGGCTCATCACTCGCATCCCACACACTCGAACGCGCCGAGTTCACACTCCTCACGTTCCCAAGTCGGCCGCACAACCAGCCAGCCAACAACTGCACCCGTTAAACTAACCATCGTCGTGGTGGTGGTCGTCGTCCTCTAATACATACTCGTTCACACTGTTGTTGGCATTTATGTCACTAAAAGTGATAGATAATGTATCTGTTGTATGCGGTAACGGCGCTTCGCTGCGAGGCGACTAACACCAGTCGCGAGTGGGCTGAATGTACCGCGAGGACGCCTACCCCTACGCCGATCCTAACCGGTGACCTGGTTGCATGCCAGGCACGCAGACCACTCGGTCGCCGGCCGAATGCATCTCACCGGACACAATATTCCTCGAATACTGATGGTGTCCAATACCTGCTATCTGGTCATCATGATACCTAGGATGCTCAGCCTGATTACCATGAAAGTAAGCGGATCCGATAGTAGTAATGAGTACTTAACTAAATCTCCAACGGAAGTTCGCCTCTGACATCCAAAACTTCACAGAATTATTCAGACGGCTTTAGTTTGCTCAGTGCATGGCCTTTCGAGCTACCCTACAATAAACGGAACACAATACAATGCAATCTATAGTTTCTCCTTAGGGCGTGATACCGTCTGCTTGCGAAAACAGAAGTAGGGAGTTGTCTTAGGGGATGCCATCCCAAGCTTCTGGCTGAATAGCCTACAGCAGGTCAGCGGATCCAAATCATGGGGTTCCCCATGATTTGGATCCGCTGACCTGCTGTAGGCTATTCAGCCAGAAGCTCGGGATGGTATACCCCTAAGACAACTCCCTACTTCTGTTTTCGCAAGCAGACGGTATCACGCCCTAAGGAGAAACTATAGATTGCATTGTATTGTGTTCCGTTTATTGTAGGGTAGCTCGAAAGGCCATGCACTGAGCAAACTAAAGCCGTCTGAATAATTCTGTGAAGTTTTGGATGTCAGAGGCGAACTTCCGTTGGAGATTTAGTTAAGTACTCATTACTACTATCGGATCCGCTTACTTTCATGGTAATCAGGCTGAGCATCCTAGGTATCATGATGACCAGATAGCAGGTATTGGACACCATCAGTATTCGAGGAATATTGTGTCCGGTGAGATGCATTCGGCCGGCGACCGAGTGGTCTGCGTGCCTGGCATGCAACCAGGTCACCGGTTCGGATCCGCGTAGGGGTGGGTGTCCTCGCGGTATATTCAGCCCGCTCGCGACTGGTGTTAGTCGCCTCGCAGCGAAGCGCCGTTACCGCATACAACGGACACATTATCTTTCATTTTTAATGATATGTCTGCCAACAACAGTGTGAACGAGTATGTATTAGAGGACGACGACCACCACCACGACGATGGTTAGTTTAACGGGTGCAGTTGTTGGCTGGCTGGTTGTGCGGCCGACTTGGGAACGTGAGGAGTGTGAACTCGGCGCGTTCGAGTGTGTGGGATGCGAGTGATGAGCCCTAGTGTGTGAGCCGTGGTGGAAAGGGGAGGCGGTATCCATGCATGGACCGGGCTGATCACTGGCTCGCCATTCACAAGCGCTATCCCGCTACCGCACCACGCGGGAACTTTTGTCTGCTGGGTTTCCCCCCTGGGCCGGTACACGCCCATCCTTAGAAGACCTGGGGAGTCAGCCCTCCGACCGGTTCCCCATATCGGGGCGGTGCTTAACATGGACGCCTGAGCAACATGTACGTGCCAGCGTCAGAACTAACGGTCCCACGAAATTCCACCTCCAGGCCTCCAAGTAGCCGGATTACAGGCGCATGCCACCACGCCTAGCCGCACGTCCGCATGTGACAAATTCATTCAACCAAGCAGTATACTAAATCCGCAAACCTATCACACTCACACACCACACACACTACTGCCACCTTCAGTAACAATAGACATACACGGGTACACGCTACACACACACGCTCACGCTCACTATCGCGGAACCGCGTGACTACCCGTGCCGCTTATGCATCCGATCGGAAACAAGGCTGGCTGGTTGATCACGAGTATTCACGTTTGTCTGTTAGTCACCTCTTTTGTTTGCTGAGGGCAGCTACCAGATGTGTAATAATGCGGTTCAGCAACCCACATGATCGCTACCCATTCTGCAAGCATACCAACACTCTTCTAGCTTCCCTCATTGTCTAAAATATAGTGACGCGAACCGATGAGGAAGCAACGCACATCACTATTCGCGCGGTCAGTTGCATGCATTCAAACTTTTCTCAATGCTGCCTGCCACTACACATAACAATGGAGTACGTGGGTCGACACTCCCCATCCCCATCCGCAACTTTTCCTACATCCTGAGTGCATCCACATATGGTACGTATGCATTGCGTGACCGCAAGTGACGCTGGTGCCTGGCCACCAGCTTGCGTTCCTCAACCTCCGAAGCTCCACGGTCAAACGATAGGGCAACTGCGCATTCAAACGACGCAAACACCGGGGACTCACTACGAACGTAACCATTAAACAGACGATCCGTGTGTAGTGAAGGCGGCCCTGATAACGCAAAATCGACTTTTCCACGTCAAATAGACGTATTAAGATCTCCGCCTCATAGTACCCTGAAGGAAGAAAATGCGATTTACTACCGGGATCGGGACAAGGTTCGATTCAAGATTTCTTTTCACTCGCAGACGAATGCACATGACACCCGCAACTGCAGGTTCAGCTGCTACCCGAAACTAACTGTGACTGTCATTCCGCTAGACCACAAGCTCGACCGCAGTGGAGGAAGATATGACAACCGCAACACAAGAAAGAGGGGATGATGATGATGAAAGAGGGATGATGTAGTGGTAGCTGTCGAGCCTGCATTAATGACCTCGGGTCGAGATTTTGCATACTCGCGTCGACAGATCCAATTCGATGACAGCAACTGGAGGATTGGTCTGGACTGGCGACAACAGTGCTCAAATAATTCCCATCAGAGGATCGACCGGATAGAGTGAGCCAATTGGTGAGTGGCTCTAATTGATGGCAGGTATAAAATGAGCTTGCGTTTTTCTAAAATACAGAATGTTACCCTTGGCCAAAACTGGTTATCTGATGCACGGAGGGCCATTACGACACGGTGCACCGGGTGTCAATAGGCGACCCACCGACTGACCGGCCGAGCCCACGGGCTACATCCCAACATGCCGAAGCGGCAGGTGACAGTGTGTGGATGAAGGGAACTGAGGCACATCACGTACAATAGGATCGATTGCTTTAATCCCCAAATGTGGTAGTATGTGAGCCCCAGTCATTGCGCCACTGTGATTTCGCCGACGACAATGACCAGGCTATTCTGTTAGATTACCAAATGGGGGACTAGGGTATGTAGGCTGGGGCACACATTACGTGTACTCACCCACTGCTTAGCAATGAGGCCACATGGCATCATAAAGCACGCGAGATGTGATGGTCGATTTGGTAGCGGGGAGCGAACTCACCGATCAATAGACTGGATGCCATCGGTCCGTTGCATCATGCAGGCGACGCACCCTGGAGAGCATGATTCCTAACAGGCATCCGTGGTGCGTACGCCGTGACCTCACCGAACTGTTTGGTCAGTGTGTAAATGGTGGTGTTGAGGCAACCGTGTTACCGGCAAATTCGAATATGATGCGGAGCAGTGAAAGTCGCAAAGAAGTTGTGTTGCCGATGCCGCCTTATCTTCAGAGAAAACCCCGCAAAATGGAAGAAGCTTGATTTTGAATATTGGCCTAGAGCACTTAGTTTTCAAATGAGGCTCCCCTCCCATCTCACCTAATTCTTCACCGTGTATACTTGTCCGTTACTGTTTGTAAGAGAGCTATAGTCCTACTGCAACTGATGATTATGACGGTGGCCGTGTGCTGGCATCAGTAGTACGCCGGTATGCAGTAGCGACGCTTCGCAGCTCCGTAACAACCACCAGTCGCACGTGGGCTAAGGATACTGTGAAGGTTATCTAGTCCCTAGACAGGCTTGAACCTGCGCTCTCAGGATACAAAGCAGGATTATGATCCTTAAGGCCACGAGGCGCCATGCTGTGGGAAGACATGACAAGCGTGACCGATAAGCCTTACTTGTCAATGTTAAGCGATGAATTGATTAAGTAGACCGCTCTGTGATAAACATAGTGCTTAAGGAACCACTGTGACGTCGATGCACACTGAACAACTAACCGGCTAAGTTGCTGAACTAGCGTTCCCACAATCGTTCTATACAAACACAAGTGAAGCGTCGCTCATGTGAAGCTTTAGGAAGCAAAGATCACAACCAGGTTCCAAAACTGTGGTAAGATCAGACTCACCTTGAAAGTCTGTGCGCAAATGGGACATTGATGACGGCGCTCTGAACTGTGTTTGAAGGCCAAGTGGTCGGATAATTCTCGTTGAACGATGAATCGGGCATTGCAAAACTAGTGAAGGAAACGGAGCAATACAGTTACGCTGGTAATAAACAAAAATATGTAAAGAAAATCAACAGAGCAAAGCGAGTTAATCAGTTAAAACCATCACAGCGTAAGAAAGGTGCCCGAAAAGAGTGGTATAATAGTGTCACAGTAACACAAAATCGTACTGTGAAACCCAGTAAGTCAAAACACCAAATGAGTAACTAGCATGCGTTCATTCGATCCCGTGAGAGGCACTGCATGATTATATATATATATATATATATATATATATATATATATATATATATATGGCGGGAAAGCCTGTGGTGCGCTGAGGCTGGTGGTGGCTAGATCCTGACAAATAGTCTACCCATTGCTGCTACTGTTGTGTCATTAGGTCATATGCTGGGCGCATCCTAGTGCCAACCGCTGGGTGGGAGTTGGGTTTCGCCCTTCTCCGAGCTAAGAGCCAGGACATCGATTCGCATGAGTCAGTGAATTGACCATGTGCTAGACCCGCTGCCTTTCGGGTGTTCATTTAATCGAAGGCTTTGGCTGAGGACCCGAGTCGTTCTCCTGTCAGGTGTAGGCGCCCTACCAGTATCCTAGTCCATCCTCTTCGGAGATTAGGAAGTGGCCGATGGCCCACTTCCCGTAAAACCTAGCCATGAGAGACAGCAGGTCACAGGTTATAAGCTTATCGCTAGATTGGCGTAGAGCACGAGTACCACGCATTGTCTCTGACGGTGGGAGGACACCTCCGGGTGTTCAATGATTTGCTACTGCCCGCCTCAAGCCAGGCAGCCCCTGGTCAAATTGGTGCAAACCCGCCAAAACCCACCTGCGTCTGGCCGTGGTCGCAGGTGCGTATCCTACTACGGTCGCAAAACATATATGAATTGTTCCAGAACCTCAAAGGCTGCGTGTGACGGCCGTCAAGCAGATCCCAATCTGTCTCTGCAATCACATTCCCGAGCTGGATCTGCTCCCACTGCCTTGTGGGTCAGGCTATTGAGCCAAAGGCTCCGGGTGGAGTCCCTCAAGCAAACCTCCGAAGCACAACCGCCACCTCGCGTGTGATTGCCCACCAATGCAATCGTATGCCTGCGCGCAAAGCACTCAACATCGGGTGCTGGAACGTGCGCACACTACTGGACCGGAACTCCAGTGAGCGCCCGGAGCGACGCACTGCACTGGTCGCGATGGAACTGGCGCGCTACAACATCGATATTGCGGCGCTCAGTGAAACCCGGCTCGCTGAGCAAGGTAAGTTTCATGAAGCAGGTGCTGGCTACACATTCTACTGGGTGGGCAACGCCGCCTCAGCACCACGTGAACATGGGGTCGGATTTGCAATATCCGATCGCCTCCATGGCCAGCTGGTGGGTGAACCAACAGGCATCAGCGCGCGACTGATGACTGTTCGCCTACGACTCGGAAGAGGTAAGTTTGCCACTTTTATAAGCACGTACGGTCCGACCATGTGTTATCCTGATGACACGCGTGATCAATTCTACACTGAGCTATCCTCCGTGATACGGTCTGTGCCGAGGAGCGACCGACTATTTCTGCTGGGTGATTTCAACGCGCGCGTTGGGCGTGATGCATCAGCGTGGACAGATGTTATCGGTTCGCATGGCATTGGTTCAGCGAATGCGAACGGTGACAGGCTGCTCTCACTGTGTGCCACTCACGGCCTGACGATCACGAACACTCGGTTTGCACTGAGTGCGAGTGATATAGCAACTTGGACGCACCCACGGAGTGGTCACGCTCACCTGCTCGACTATGTCATCGTACGTCAGCGTGATATGCGTGAAGTGCGCATGACACGTGTACTGCGTGGAGCTGAGTGTGGCACTGATCATAAATTGGTGCGGACCAAACCGTATACAGTGGATTCCGGTTAATAGGACCACCGGTTAATAGGACCAGCCGCTTATTCGGGCCAAATTCTGAAGAACCGAAACGAATCCTATTACGCTAGCCTAATTTTAGCCGCTTATTAGGACCGGAATTCCGCTTAATCGGACCAGACGATAGAAGGTGGCAGGTAACAGAGGTGTTAAAATCAAGTTCTGTGCCTGGATGTCTGGACTAAACCCACAGTTCATATGTCGGGCAAGAAAGCGGATCATTCAGTTACGGTAATCCGAGTTTGCCTTTGGATAAACTGAACTGTGGCAACCTTGAGGCACATCTATATAATTGGCTTCAGAACCGCCCGAAACTGCCTGTAGTTTCCAACACTTGTAGGCGGAGCGAAGACATATATGCTTGTTCACATGTCGTTAACCGCTCGATCGATGTACCGCACGTCCATTGAGCCGAATGCCCTGAGCCCGCATTGCGGGCCTACTCTCGAGCACGGCAAGTGATCGCGGACACACAGGTCCGGCAAATCATAGGACAGCAGGTGGCTAGGTCAACCATAGAAATACCCGGGAGACAGACTCGAGTTCACCTCAGTGAACTGTGCGTGTCTTGTTGCATGTTAAGAAAATGCCACGACGGGACTTGACGTTAGCTGAGAAAATTCGTTTCCTAGATCAGATCAAGGAACAGGGACCAACCACTAGTCAGCGTCGATTGGTGGAAATTACCTGCTTGGCAAAATCTACAATATCGCGCCTGATAAAACAAAAGAAAGATCTGCGAGAAGAATGGGCACAATGTGAAGGACGACGAGGTACTTCCCAAAAACAGAAGCGTGAAGGCAAGGATCCAGACGTCGATGAGGCCCTTAATGATTGGTTTGCCTTTGTTACTGGACGAGCCGTGCGAGTAAGTGGCCCAATGTTAAAGTACAAAGCAGAAGAACTCGCTAAAATGCTGGGCCACGAAGATTTTCTAGCTACGGACGGCTGGTTGTCTCGATGGAAATCTAGACATGATGTAAAAGTTAAGAAAGCACATGGTGAGAAAGAAAGTGCCAATAGCGCTCGAGCTGAAGAATGGAAATAAACAAAACTACCAGAGCTTCTTGAGAAATTTCCAGCAGATGACATCTATAATGCTGATGAAACCGGGTTGTACTATAGGGCTACACCGGACGGCTCCTTAAGTTACAAACATGTTACTCTCTCTGGCTGCAAAAAAGCAATGGATCGCGTATCTGTCTTGTGCTGCTCAAACATGTCCGGAACGGACAAGAGGAAGTTGCTGGTTATAGGAAAATGTGCCAAGCCTCGCTGCTTTAAAAGACTCAGAATGGACAGTTTACCAGTTGTGTATCGTGCGAACAGAAATGCATGGATGAGCTCTACACTTTTTAAAGAATGGGTGAAAGATCGGGACACAGAGCTACAACGGCAGTCGAGAAAAGTGTTATTACTTCTCGACAATTGTGCAGCACATTCAAATTTGGAGTTCTTGAAGAATATCCAGATGGAATTTCTGCCTCCCAAGACCACATCTTTGATACAGGCAATGGACATGGGCATCATAAAAAATTTGAAGACGTTTTATCGTTCAAGGTTGGTGAATTACATCCTTGAATCAATTGAGGAAGGCTTGCTGACCTCATCCTCGACGGCCGGAAAAATCAGTGCAAAGGTCAACATTTTGCAAGCCGTTACATTCGTGGCCGAAAGTTGGCGAAAAATGAGCAGTGCGACAATTCGGAACTGTTTTTCTCACTGTGGCTTTAAGCATATTGTCTCGGAGATGGATGTGGATATGGTGATCGTAAATGAAAATGACGGCGAGAATGTGGAGCTGAAACAAGTTGAAAATTACGAAGAATTTTTGTCAATCGACAACGAACTTAAACTCTGTGATGGAAATGAAGAATGCGATGCTGCCATTGTTGCTCGAATAGTAGCGAAACACACGACAGCAACAGAAGACCATGGAAGTGATGAAGATAACCCTAACGTGTTGATGCCAGTCACAAAACAGGATGCAAGGAAATGCATTGAAACATTGCACCGCTATTTCATGCAGGAAGGAAATGAAGGTAGTCCTATTACTGCGTTACATGTTTGTGGTGATTTTGTGCGAATGCAGTCTGTTAAAAGAATGCGTCAAACCACACTGGATACGGTCTTCAAACGCTGAATGGAATTCGGTAATCCCTTTGTATAAAACTGTACTTCGCATGCTGAATATCTTGTAGGTCGTTACGAAGAATTTGTTTGTAAATTTCTTTTTCAGTGAACAAAGTTCGTTATCAAAGCAGTTCTTTTTTGTGTGTTTGCTATAAATATATGCCGCCAATACAGGTCATAATAGTAGTTTCCAATGTTATGTATAGCACGACCCATCTTGTTACATCGGGTAACTTCGGTTAATCGGACCAGCCGCTTAATAGGACCAAAATGGTCTGGTCCCGATGTGGTCCGATTAACCGGAATCCACTGTATATATTTTCATGAAAATCTATGTATTGCACTCCCCGCCGTGACTCGGCGTAAATTTAACATTCTCTCCCTCGGTACTGTGGAGAACCGTATTGAGCCGCAGAAGGCGATGGTTGCACACCAGTGTGATGTCGAATGCATAGCCACAGTGGACGACCTGTAGCACCACATTCGCGAGCCGGTTGACAGCTACTGCCGAGGACATCAACAGGCGCGCAAACTGTGAGCGGCTTGATTGGTTTGATGAGAACAATGCGACGATTGGCGCATTGGTGTCGGAGAAGAATGCAGCATTTGCTGCACATGTGGCAGACCCCAGTGACTTGGGGAAGCAAAGCCAGTTTCGCAGAAATCAACTGCGACAGACTCGCGAGCTCAGTCGCATTAAAAATGCATGGTGGACGGAGAAGGCGAAGCAGATGGAATGCTACGCCGAACACCGCCAACACAAGGAATTCTTTGACTCCTTGAAGGTGGTGTATGGACCGAGATTGGAGCCTCTACGTACTCTGATCGATTGTAGTTCAGGCACTACCTGCACACAGACTGCAGACATAATGCAGATCTGGCGAAAACACTTCGACTGTCTCTTGAACAACCGTTCAGAGATCGACTGGCCTACACTGAACGGCCTCAAGCAGCACGATGTGAAGGCGAGTCTGGAAGACACGCCGACACTGTATGAGACGCAGAGAGCACTTGCTCAGCTGCGAAACGGCAAGTGTGCTGGTGCCGACGGGATCCCGCCTGAAGTATTGAAACACGGCGGACCCGCGTTGTTGACTGCGCTGCACCACTTGGTGCAACGCGTATGGATTGAGGAGGTGGTGCCTGCTGAGCTGAAGGATGCCCTTGTGCTACCACTGTACAAGGGCAAAGGAAGCAAACAATGTTGTACGAATTATCGTGGCATCAACTTGGTGAGTTGTGTGGGCAAGGTGATTGCCCGAATCCTGCTCAACCGCCTCGTCAGTCAGGTTGTGGAACTTAACGTGGCGGAAGAGCAGTGTAGATTCCGCTCGGGTCGCAGCATTATAGATATGGTGTTTGCGGCTCGTCAGTTGCAGGAGCAGTGCAGAGTACGGACACCAGCCATTGTACTCGCTTTTTGTTGATTTCACCAAGCGTTTGATACAGTGAACCGCTAGGCATTGTGGTTGGTGTTGGGTAGGTTTGGTTGTCCAAGTAAGTTTGTATGTTTAATTGTATGTTTGCACATTGGTATGCGAGCGAGGGTGCAGCTGAGTGGAGGGACATCGGATGACTTTGCAGTTGTCTCTGGTGTGAAGCAAGGCTGTGTCTTAGCTCCTGCTCTGTTTGCTATTTATCTTCACACAATGATATCTTGTGCTTTGGATGCAACTTGTGCTTACGTTGTTCGTGTGGAGCACCGTATTGATGTTGGGTTGCTGAACATCCGTCTTTCCGGTGCGAGAACTCTAGTCTGTGAGACAACTATCCGTTTGTTGCTTGTGCGCTGACGACTGTGCGTTGCTTTGCACACAGTGCGGATGAGTTGCAGCACATGACTAATGCTCTGGCTTCGACAGCGTCCAAATTCGGGCACTCCAACAACACAAGCAAAAACGTCTCAGGCTCCTAGCTTTAACTGGAGGTGCCATCTACAATGTTGCCGTGAATCAGCATTGGTTCTGAAGTATTAGAAGCCATCTCCCGCTTCTGCTACCTTGGGAGTGCTGTTTCGACTGAACAGCAGATACACAGTGAGCTGCGCACTTGCGTGTTAAGGGCAGCTGCGGCATTCGGGAAGCTTGAGTACCGAGTGTGGAACAACCATCCGCTTACCATTGGCCCGAAGATGATGGTGTACAAATCCATGGTGCTGTCCGTTCTTCTATACGGCAGTGAAACGTGGACAATTTACGGGCGGGATACGCGATATCTAGAGCGGTTCCATCAGCAGTGTTTGCGACGGATCCAACGCATCGGTTGGTGCGGCAGAGTTGCAGACACTTAGGTGCTGCACCGAAGTGGAATGTATGCAGTGGACTGCATACTTTCTGTGAGACACTCGAGGCGGCTTGGTTATGTGTGGCATATGGATTCGACGCGGATACCTAAACAGCTGCTGTATGGCCAACGGAGTGCAGGAAAGCGGTATGTCGGAAAAGCGAAGTTACGCTACCAGGACATAATCAAAGCAGCCATTCCTGTTCTAGTGTGGATTCGAGATGTTCTAGATGTCGCGAACGCCTGAGTCAGGCAGGCCTAGTGAGCCATGAGCGAGGCCACTCGGGACCACCACCGAAGCGACGACAAGTTCTGCAGAGAACGTAGACAGAACCGGCGCAGCGTTTGTAGGTACGCTGCATTCGAGTTACTAACCGCGTGCTTGCATGCGAAATCTCTTTATTTCAGGTGGTAGGTTTGTACGTTTCTCTTAATGATTTTCTTTCTCATATCATTGTCTACTTGTACTATCTTCTATAAACTTGCAAAAGTCGCTTAAGCCAATTGTAGTTAATTTCGATAACATTTTCGTGTTTGTGGCATTTTCGTAAAATATGTTTTCTGACCTCTTGCACTTATCGCGGATTCGTTCGTAATCATTTTTTTACAAGTACATTTAGTGAAGAGTTACGCCGCCGTACCTGTATGCATTACCCGATTTATTTTATTTCATCTTGTCGTTTCAAGTGATTGGCTGTTGCTTGATATCCCCGGTGTGGCCGCACTTATTGTGCAGGTTGACAAGATGCCTACATGTCTATTACCCACTAGCTCATCCATACTGGCTCTAGCAGACAGTTGCTCGTTGCTGGAGGGGACAGGGTGCACGGTTCTGGTGACTGTGTTAGGATCAAAGATTGGTTCCACGCACTCACTGTAGAGTGGACTACGGTCCAGCCACCACCTCGTGTGTGCTTCATTCCCCAAATACAGGGTGCTTGTGTTTGCCTATCAAGGAGTGTGGGCCGGCTCCGTTGATGAAACGTGGCTCCCATCCACATGCGTCCCGGTCTTATTCCTTCAGGTTTACACTGGATATGGGGTGTGTGGTTGGAGTTGTGGGTGGTGCAGCGCAAATCACTCATGGTCCCACTGTAGGCGCAGGCGTCCTGTGGCTGGCCACAGTGACAGGCAAATCCGAAACCGGATGCCGCCAACGATGTATGTGTGTGTGTCCCATGCTGAGGCGGATGTCGCATTCACGACGCTTCTTCACCGCAGTTGGGTTAAACAAACTTACACTTAAACTAAGTCATTTTAATGCGGATAACATTCATTACATTTTATTTTATTTCTGCCTACTTGATAATCTTCTCCCAACTTACACACGTCGCTCATGCAAATTGGGGTAAACGCGTAATTTTATCGCGTAGTATTTTTAAATGACTTTCGGACATTTTGTACTTTCGCAGATTCACACTTAACCGATTTTTTCCATATGCTCATTTAGCGAGTATTTATGTCGTCATATGCGTTTACTTTATTCGATATCGGCACTTCGAATGATTGGCTGTTGTTTGACATCCCAGGTGTGGCTGCGCTTGATGTGCATATTGACAAGGTGCCTACCTGTCTATTACCCACTACCTCGTCCATACTGGCTCCAGCAGACAGTTGGTCGTTGCTGGAGGGGACGGGGTGCGCGGTCCTTGTGGCCGTGCTAGGCTCGAAGTGTGGTTCCATGCACTCAGTGTAGAGCGGACTACGGTCAAGCCACCGCCTTGTGTGCGCTTGATTCCCCAAATACAGCGTGCTTGTGTTTGCCTCTGAAGGAGTGTGGTCTGGCTCCATTGATGAAACCTGGCTCCCATCCACATGCCACCCGGTTTAATACCTTAGGGTTTACACTGGACATGCGTGTGTGGTTGGAGCTGTGGGTGGTGCAGCGCAAGCCACGCATTGTCCCTCTGTAGGCGCAGGCGTCCTGTGGCTGGTCACAATGATAGACAAATACGAAACCGGAAGCCGCCAACCATATATAGGATCAGTCACACCGGTGGTTGGTTAGTTCTCCGGACTTGGCGCATTTATGAAGACAGTTGTGCTCTTGGGTTAGCCCTACTCGTATATAGTATCTAAGACACATGAGCTTTATATGTACGTTCAGTCCTGTTTTTCTGATGCTTCAATTGGAATTTTGCCATGTCTTAAGATAATATATTTTTGCGTTCAGATCCCCTTTATCCCACTGTTCCTAATGGATAGTCATTGTGCAGAATGATTATACGGCGCCCTGTAGCCAGCTTGCCCGTTATCAGGCTCGCTCCTTTGAATAGAGCAGGTCAAATAAACGAAACGCCGCAAAGAGAGTGTAAAGACAAGCGGCATATGGCCAAATTTCATCCAAAGGCGAATGCCATGCCGTACCTAGCCACGGTTAGTGGAAGTCATGACTCTAGGAGCCAACCTTGTCCTATGCCTGAGTGAAGGATAAGACGCACTACATCGCAGTTGGCTTGTAATTCATGATGGTCCGCTGCTGTCCCCATGGTCCAATGGCATAAGATGCCGACTGTTGGTTCAAACCGCTAGTGGTCATGAGTTCGGATCGTAAGGGAGCTGATAAATGTGTTCTAATGACAAGACCCAACAGGTCGAAACGGCCGTCTGGTGTTTCGCCGGGCACGTAGAGGAAGGATTACCTTATTTGGGGACTACTGCGAAAAAACCCCAGCAGATGGTGAAATGATTGTAGGACTCGAATCGGTAGATAGATTGAGAAGTTGAGAGCCGAGATTCTAAAAAGACAGTGAGGAGCTAAATCCAAAGGGCACAAAAAGTCCAGACGAACAGCGTTTGCAAACATTGCACATCCAATGGTGGCCATGCACAGTTTACGAGGATTAGTGAATAGATGTCAAAATCGAACTGCGAAGTCTCAAAGTCAGGAAGATCATCCAGGAGCGGTGCCCGACTCACCTCGCAAGCAAACTGCTTGAGTCGAAGATGGCGCGCCAAATGTTCATCCAACGCACCTCGATCATCGGTGCGGAAATCACAATACCCGCAATAGAACCGAAACACACCTCTGTGTGCTTGCTTGTGATGTCGTTGTAAATTGAACAGCCTAGAATAGACACGTTGACACAACTTGCATTGGTAGACCGATGATGAGGCCTGAGTACCACCTTGGGAGGGCCGCAGCACCCAGCACGCTTCACTGTGCGGCACCTGTTCCGCATTGGTGTGCGATGGTGCATCACCGCTAGGATTTGGCAGCTCCTGTGAATTGGGGCGAAGAGAGTATCGGCGGTGTATTAGCCAGAATCTCAAAGTGGAGAGAGAGGAAGAATGGGGGAAAAGTTCACCGCAAAGTGTCTTGGAAAACCAAAGTCAATCAAGTTCGAACAAATTAGTGAGAGATGGTGTTCTGGGATCGGATAGATGGGGGCAATGGCCAGACAGTGAGAATACAAGGAACCGATCACGGATGTCAGTCCCAGTTAGGCATGGATCACTGTATCAGATCGCTGCCAAGTGCATGAGGCTAGTGCAATGGGTTCGAATCCGAAAGAACTCGAAAGAGACGCACTGCTAATGAGTCACATCCAATAAAATGAATGCATAGTGACTACGGGGAACTTCTAGAAAACGCGTTAGAGTTCCGCAGTGAATAGATTAGACTTATGAGGAATGATTTTGAAACTCCAAGATCATGGAAGACTCAATTCTTTGGGGTACACTGAGGTGCCGACAAACGCTGAAGAGCTGCTGCACCGGCACAACCACTTTCTGCCGAGAAAGTTGCATAACGCGACCACCAGTCTCACAATTCGGCATGATACAAAAGCTGCTTTTTGCGAGACATGTAGGTTTACATTTTTGTCATGAAGCATATGATGGGGACACTTACAGATAACTCAATTCCAACTGACTCATAAGGAATGAACTTTTTCTAGGTGCATGAGCAACAGGCGTAATAATACACCGACAAAATGGCAGCGTTTTGGTGGACCTCAGGACCTTAAAAAATGCCTCGGTGTGTACTTCGAGAAGGCTAAGTGTAACGTTGCTGCGGCATCAGTTCCTACAATCAAGGCACATTGGCTGAAGTGCTGAAATTGTTCATTGGTACATACGATTGCCCTGAGTCTAAAGGTCAGACCTCGTGAAGCGCCAATGGAAACTGAGTTATCAGCTCGCTGGCGGAAGCAGTGACATGCCTACAATGTGTCCCGTAGTCCTCCTGGGTAGTGATCAAAAATCGGGTATTGGTGAACAGAAGGATAACATTACATTGGATTGCTAGTTCATTGCAGTAAGCTTTTCCTTGGGTGAATTCTTGTCGTCGTGAGTTCAATGGCCCGCACGCACTGTTTGTTCGCCGCATTTGGTTCAAAACGCACCCACTCTGTTTGAAACCATGTTGCTGGGTCATAACGATTATACTGTGTCCAGTCGGATGGAGTAATTATAATCAGTACGCGTACGAAGTACTTGCTAATTTGCTGCCCATTAGCTTACACCGGTTCAGTTCACTCAAACTACCAAATGCTGTCACGCTATGCATTAAAGACATTAACGGAGTGAGCTGCCTTGACCACATATTGCGGGGAAAACCGTGGGTAGTGCTGTGGAGCACTGGTTGGGGCTTAGCATTATACGAACTGATGCTGCGCTGGATCAACTATTGACCTTGAACCGCTGATGCTATCAGGGTCGTGCGCTAGGAATTAGGAGAATTAGGAGCCCAGGCTATTCCAGTGACGGTCGAACAGTTCACTGAGCTGGGAATCTCGGTGGCTCACAAGCCAAGTGCCAACTTAAGGAACTTGATTTCTAAGCCTAAAAGATAAAGACAATCAAAACACTATTGTCTGCGGGATAAGATTCAGCGAATGTGGTAAGAACTAGGTTGGACAAATTAGAAAGAAGCTTCGCATATGAATCACCGAGCATAAAGTCGCCATAAGAAGACATGATCCATATTCGTTGGTTTCCGCACATGAAGACCAAAAGGCCATTTCGACCTGAAAAATGTGTAGATTCTGGGGCGTGGGAGTAAAACCGACAATTACACAACACTAATGTCGAGAGATCGCCAGCTCAATCGACTAAATCGGGTGGACCAAAACACCAGGTAAGCAGAACGGACGACAAACCTGAGCACAAGAGTAACCGGGTAGGGGTCACGGTGCACAATTGGGAGAGGTCAAGTTCAAAGGTCACTTACCTGTCCAACAAGCAGAACGCGGTGGGATGTTCCAGCCAATAAGATTGCTTGTCTACACGACCAAACACGGCAACACATGAAAACGCATACACACTATCCCCACGCACTCTTATCGAGTGATTCCCTACGCTACACAACAACGCACTATGATGTCACTTCAATTGGTGGTGAAACATTTGCGATAAAAGGGCGAAGTTCAGCGAACAATTCGATCGACAACGTCGTGCGTTTTGCAAGTACTCTGACCGGCCACTCCGCGTGCAACACTTGACGCTGTGGAACACAGTTAAGTGAAAAAGTGGGGAGACCAAATGATGACATTACAGAAAAGCATAATATCCCGAAAGGCGTGATCATGTTCTGCCCGCATGAGTAGGAACCTTAAGATAGTTCACGGAGTCTGCGAGCCAATGATGATGTGTTTCAACCTGTCAGCTTGATCCATTCCATCTAAATTTTTCTAACACTTTTCCATAGGATTTCCCCCATCCCACTGTTAATTAGTATTGCGAGAGTCGTTGGAACTGGATCCACCGCACTTCAGTGTTAGGATTATAAGCGACCAACTAAAATCAAACGAGTTTTATCCGAAGACCCTAAGATGCGAAGCTGAGAACGAACGACTGAATCAATACCAATAATAAAGGGATTTTTGATGAAATTTCATTGGGAGCTGATCGCAAAAGCTCACAAGCCAGAGAGACTACGACCAATCCTGAATTAGTCTTTGGTGCGCAGTCCCGAGGGCCGTCAAAAATCGAATCCATGGCCTGCCGACAATACCAGCTTGTCCCCTAGCCAGCAGTTTATGTAACTGAGCCAGACGGGACGATGGCAGCCCGCTGTGTCTTGTAAGCTCATTGGGACAAAGCGCAACCTATCCTCCACTCTTATGCAGGCTACTGTCCTTGCAGAGGACAGTGGCTGGCTCCATGATGAATCGATATCACATCAATGAACTGTGCGTAATTATGCGCCTGCTAGCCGTGAGCATCAGCAACTATTAGAACTCGTTTTTGTCAAGGGAAAGATGCGGCGAATACCATCCCACTGAGGAAGTACATGAACCCCCCTTAAATTTCTACTACTATGACAAGATCAATCAGCCGTGCAGCTCCCAGTCATAGGACAGTTGGCGACTTAACAAAGAAGATCCTGTTGCTGTGCAGTCAAACACGTCCTCCGCGCAGTCGTGATGTGTATGTCAGCGGATAGTAAGAGGCGCCGTTACCGACAAATCGGTCTTGGAACCTGAGCAACTCCTAGCGCAGCCGGGTCAATCCAAAAGTCAAAGCCGGAAGAGCTAAGGTGCTATTTACAAATGGTTAGACAACAATTTAATAACAAACCTCAAACAATTTCCAGACCAAATGTGTACAATAATTCGGCTCTCAAATGCAACGTGCCGTCAACAGCAATGGTCAACAGATAAGCACAATGAAGCGAAGCGGTTCTAATGAAGCGAGGAGTGTTTTAAAGTGAAGTGATCAATTGTCAATCGATCAGTTAATGAGCAGTGCATATGGAAAGCAGGCGTGTCCTGGACGAGAGTAAGTGTGAATGTCTGGATGAGAGTTCGGTCAGGCAAACAAAGGAAGTAGGACGGGACCAGTACAGACTAATGAAGCTGAGTGTGTAACTGGGCCGTATAACACGCACAAGGAGTAAGACAGAAGGTGGGAGTAGCAAGCTTAACCATTGAGCGATGCAAAACGGGTAAACTCTTGTGGTTAATCAAGGTCTAAATGTGAACGAGAAACAAAGTAACTGAGGTTTTATCATGCAACGTCCAATAAGCAATCGGGGGGTAATGATTGGTAGTTTTGAAGTCAAACAATAGGAGGAATCTCCAGATAGGTTGAACAAATTAATTTGTCCTGTTACAAGGCACTTATAACAATTGTTGACATAGACAAATAGGGCTCCCATCATAACGTATGCGCCTATAGGCCACAACCTGACAGTCAAGGATTCGAATCTGGAAGCCACCTCGGGCGATATGTGGTGTCGATGATAGGTCTGAGAAGAATGAAATGGCCGTATAACACTTTTCTGGATGACATTTTCTACGTGACTGAGTTTAGTTGTAATGAGTCCACTCTCGCCGAGGTTCCTCTACGCTACTGCACGCCATTCAACTACGCACTGATGACATCATCTCGATGTGTGACGAAACGTTTGCAACAAAATTGCCAAGCTCAGTGAAGAGTTCAACCGCCACATAGAGGAAAATTTACCGCCAAATGAAACCACCGCGGAGACGTAGTGCATGTGATACAATGTAAATAAAGCCATGAGTAATGCGCACACACCTTAGAACAACTCCCACGGATTAGTTGTCCCTGATGGTGATGAAGGTAGCGGAACAAAGGAAGGAAATGAATCAAACGACTTACAGTAGAGTCGACCGAGTTCGTCTTAGATTGTATCTTTCTTATGCGCTTATGGGACTCAGAGGAGGGAAAAGAATCCGTTGATCGCTGTTTTGAGGGTGTCTCCCGAGTACATGCATCGTCCGTTTGAGAAGATGACGCCGAACCGACAGGTTGCCCGGCCCGTAATGCCTGTGGGAATCGAATCATGGGACCGAGCTTTCGGGTGCATCGGATTGCTTGGCGAGACGTGCGTCGCATGTTCACGTGACGGGTTGACTCAACGCTAGTGTCCGACGAATCGGAGAAATTAGAACTGCACCCCGCAGAATCGTCCAGAGGGCGCTTCCGTAACAAGGCAGCCTCCTCAGCAGTAGGCGTCAGACCGCCCAAACTTTCTGGTATATGACCGTGCTTGAAGAGATAATGAGCCTGGAGAAAAGATCAGTAGAGTTGGGTGAGTTGGTAGAGATAGACGGGTCGTAGGCTGAGATAACATGAATGCAAACATTGTGGTATTTTATCATATATTAATCGAAGGATAATGCATAGTTAAAACAATACGTGGGACGAATAGTTATAGAAAAACTACGAGCAGAAGTTCGAAAAAAGCACATAAACAGACGTATGAGAAAGTGCCAATTAGCAAACAAGCGAACACGTTTAGTAACTGGAAAACCGTAATTTCATTGGTCATGAAGACCGCCTGGCAGGTCAGATGCACTTTGCACCAATATGGTACAATATTCAAAGAACTGCGCTTCTAACGTGACGGCAAGCAGTGATATTGAAGAGAAATGTAGTGCAGTAGTTCAAGAAACTTGCGTAACGCATAACTGCTGCTCTTAGTCGAGAATAGACTACGAAGGGAACAGTGTGATCATCAGTATACATGTTAGTTAGAGGTGGAAAACGCCTCAGCTATTGTGCCGCGAAAGTGGACAATTGAAGTTGACGTCTCAGTCAGAATAACGATCGGGGTAGTTGACAAATTACAGACACTGGCTGGCTTTGGGGTCCAGCCCTGTACCCTGCACATTCATAAAATGCATGATAGTGGAGGATGAGCAGCGCTTTGCCACAGTTAGATATCAGTCGTTGCGATCTGCTGCCGTCATCTATACTTCAGTGGCCTAAGTCGCTGGTTCGTGAGATTAGGATCATGGGTTCGAGTCTGGCAGGATTCGGTGGATGCGTGCTAATGACGAGTCCCAATAGGACGAAACGGCTGTCTAGCGCTTTGCTGGATGTATGGTGACTGTCTTTTTAGGTCTAGCTGCGATGAAACTTCTCAACAAAATTACATACCCTTCACACGTGCACACACACACAGAGACGCATATAAGGGCATCACACCCACCGTCGTCGTTATGGTCCGCCGAGAATCGAAAACAAAGTCTAGGTCTGGATCAAAATTCTGTTATTCAAAGATCACAAGCGCAATCTATATATACCGCTATTGCTTTCTCAGTTGGCGTTCGAACTTTGATAATGTCCGTCCAAATCCATCGTACTATCAATCCAGCCCGTGTAAGAACTATCAGGTTGCATTGGCGGCGATCGATTAGCTGCCAGGCTGTTGGTTTCATGCTCACTCAAATCGCCCGTTCGATCCGTCACTAACATGCTCCGTGTGGTGTCATATCACCACCGCAACCGTGACCGCACCAGGCTAAAGCTTCCAGTCCTTTGGAGATCACTGGTACGGAATCCACAGTAACTGAAAAATACATGATCACCAGTCGCGCTGAACTATTTGAAAGTACTGAAAAAGTAGCTCTCTGCAAGCTGAACACAAGGATCACTCAGTGATGACGTTAATCGGGTTTGTTCCAAACTCAGTGAGACTCCGCAGACCTTTCTGAAGTTGGTGTTCTGATGCAGCCGGCCATCTTCAGTAATGCGTGCAGGGAGTCACTCGGCGTTGGTTAACTGTCTCTGTGTGTTCACTTATACTGACGTGATGTTGACGAAGCGAGTCAAGCAAAGTGACAGCGTGTTCCATCAAAGGCAGAAGTAGCAGGTTTCGCGCAATCATAAGCAAAGATCCTAAAACAATCCAGCCGTCTCGAAACAGGTGTGTAGATTTGGGCGACATTGAGCGCGTATCGGCTTAAAAAACCATCTTACAAGCTATTAAGAACACCCTGTTACTCTGTTAATCAAACATCCATCGCTAGTAGCGTCACCCATGGCTCAGCGGCATAAGTCGCTGCTTCGCAAGTGTTAGGTCATGGGTGCGCGCTGCTGACGAATTCCAAGAGGACGACACGGCCATCTAGCGCTTTTCTTGATGTGTGGTGGCTGTCTGACTGAGACTAGCTGCGACGAATAAACTCAAAACATACGATCTTTTTCTTATGACCAGTGGGGTCCCAGGTAGTTTTGGCGTCGGCCCCGAACTTCCATCTCCCTTGGCTCAGGAGCATAAGCTGCTGGCTAATGGTCACTAGTGGTCATGAGTCCGATACCCAGCAGCGGACTGATAAAAGTCGGCAAGTAGCATAAGGATCACAAGCTTGAATTGTAATCTGAGGGCGCTGGTTCGACCTTGCGTAGGGGACCGGGCGACCCCCGCAGTGTCCTTAAACCAAGTGCAGCTGCTAGTGGCTGCGTTGCAGCAAAGCGTCGGTGCTGTTTATCGGACTACTGTTGATACTTCTCTCATCTGTAGTATGCCCAAGAAACAAGGCTCGCTACTCGATCAAACCCGTCCTGGTGTATCTGCGTTGATAACTTCGGTAGCTCAGTAGGATTGTTGTAGATGTAACTGAAGAAATGAAAGGTAGGGAGCACTTGAATAGAGACAGCTAATAAAATCTAAGTGAAGGAGCGAACAGCCGTTAACAGTGTGTATGCCTCAAATCCAAGTGCGATCTGGATCCGTGCCTTCAGCCGCTAAGGAGGAGTGACAGGGGAATACGAAGTCGTTGAGATGACCGCTGCGTGCTAGCATCGATTATCGACTACTGTAATGTGTAGCTCAACATGAAAAAGACAGGATTAACACTGAGAGCCACAAGTTGCTGGTTGAGTCGGCGACAACCTCGTTACCTTTCGACACGAAAGTAGCAATATCTCGCCGATAGGCTTTGAGGTGCGCGTCGAGTGCATGCACAGCGACGCATAGCAACAATTTTCAGACAAACCAAATGAACCATCATATCGTAGAGAAGGTTTGGATAAAGGTTTCTTTGGTGGAGCTAACTGAAAAGTTCAACAACCAATCAACTCTGAACACATCGCACTTATATAAGAACAGGTTTCATAATACGATTACGATCGTAGAGTTACAGATTTGACTGTACAGTGAAAATTGATCAGCTTACTAATAGAGAGAGTCGAAAAGGGCGGTACGAGTGCCAGTGCACTGGTGTGTCCCGTGTATATTCGAAAACAGCTTATTTATTTATTTACATACAGGACTCGTAATCGAGGAAATGTCCTTATGCTTCACATGGGTCATTCAAATGTATTCGTTAGCAGATCGCGTGGGGGAATAAAATTGTAAAAGGCTGTGGAGTAAGTGTCTACCGTAAAAACACCGAACGATACTCAAATGGTCTGTGTGTGTGCACGTTAACTACGAGTTAGATGCCATGAGGTCCGCGGCTCCCTTCGGTGGGTATGGTGCTTCCAAATTTACGCTTTAAATCAAAAGCAGAACAAGCACGCGAGGACGTTCGCCAAAATACTCAAGTGTTCACCCATCATTCCTAGGAGGTATAGCATAAATATCCAAGCACACGAGACGTCTGGGCAATATAGAACACTGCAGAGACTGATACAAGAGCTTTTGTGTGGCTTTGTAAAATAGGCTTCAATCATTGGGACGGTATTTTGACGGGAGGTGATATGTGTGGGCCAGAAGCTCTGTCAGAGGGTGATTAAGATCCCGACGATTTCAGGCTACTTCATCGAAACTCCAACTACCTCTCCATGTGGTATGCAGAAGTCTGCCTCCCGGTCAATCCAACCCAATCGAGTTTCATGAGCTAAGGGAAGGGTGTTGACGGCCGACGTTACTGCTTTAACGGCCAACCGGTACATTCGAAACCGTCCGTGAAGAATCTTAACCTATTCTCCAGTCGCGATTTGAGATCTGCGTGTTGAAAAAGCGACGTGGTGCAGACGAGTTGTATATTGGAGAACCAGCGTCTAGATAACAGTTCGAACATGGAATCTCAGGGCCAACCTGCGCACTTCCCACGTTGTATCCTTCCAACACGCCGCGCTGCTGCGCCTCATCACTCACAAGGTATCGGCGGAGGTAGACTTTACCACTACGTGTGTTTCGTCCGGCGATCCATAATTTTCTTGATTCACCCGCACTTCCTCGTTTTCGCTCATACTACTGACAAACAGTGCACCACATGCGGACAACACAACAGGCTACATCGAAACGGAATGCGCATGCTTTGGACACTCAAACGTAGTTAATGTACTTGGTCTGCACAGGTCGCCACTAGCTTCTTCTCTATCGTAAGGCCAATGCTACAGTACGAATTAACCACACGAGGTAAAAAAGATCAAACAGGTTCAACACGGGATTTACCGTGCCAAGATCGACGTGAGAAATGGGTCGATCTCATCACGACAGATCGCACATTACATCTCCGTGGCGGTTTTGTGCCTGATTCACCCAGCCGCGTCGACAGAAAGAACTCACACCGAGTCAGCACACAAACGCTTTATTCCCAAGTCTGAGGCAAAATACAATTAACTGTGTTTTTAAAAACCCACTGGCCTACTCGATCGTCTGATCCACCGCACTGTGGCAGACGATTGGCCTCGCCCCAGTTTTGAGCCACCATCACAGTGGCTTCCTCATGCTGAAGCTGCTGCTTCCATTGTGAACGTTATATGTCAAGCAGACACTGGTACAAGCTTGTGGCGCGGGATATAAAGCGAGTTTCCCAACTTCTGTGCTTCGAACGAAGAGGGAAAAGTGTTCGGAACAGTCTGTCAGGACATGTCGTGGAGGCAAAATCGCTGCAGTAATTCACGACCATTCGATTCAGAGAACGATGCATATTCGCAACTGACATCTTACATCTTTGAGCCCAATGGTTCCGTAAGTCAGAGATTTCATATTCTACATAAGAAATTGAAAAATCATTAGAGCATCAACAGGTGGCAGATACTTTTCATGACATTTGTGATAGTACTCCGATGAAGTTGTATAAAGTTGAATTCATACTTGCTCCCACGGACAAGTTGGCCATCCTTCCTAGCGGAGCATCGAGTAGTAGCGACGGTCGTAGGTCGCTTGTTGATCCAAAAAGTGTGGCAAAGGGTTTGCTTGCCCTCGCTTGACTAAACGTGAGGAAGGCCATCTAGTACAATGTACGGTAACAGTATTGTCACATTCGGAATTCGCTTCACCGTGACTCCTAAGTTCGGTAAGCGTATGGGAGAAGGCTGTCTCCCAAATTCCCCACAATAAGTCGGGTTGTCCTATGTCTCTTTTCCTCTTTAACTTTGTGACCGAAATGATCATAAATGACTCCGAGTATTCAGGTTCCTCATGAGTGCGTTTTGCAAGATGATCGATTGACAGCCTCTACTTGCAGAACTGAATCGATGCGCCACCAGTACTGGATATTATAGAACCGTCAATGGAAGAGTGGATTGGTCCATTTGCCTTTGCAGTTGTCACCAATGGTAGTCACATCACAGAGAAAGTTACTTCGCGTATCAACAAGGCTCGGTTGAGTTTCCAGAAGCTCAATCATGTATGAAGACGATGAGATGTAAACCTGCCAATGAAAGGTAGGGTGAATAATGCTGTAATAAGGCCGGTGTAACTGTGTGGATCAGAAACCTGACCAGTTCGCAGTGAAGGCTCAAAACACTTGGCCGTATTTGATCGTCAATACTTGCGGAGTATTGCCCGAATCTGGTAGGAACACCAGGTGAGCAATGCTGAGCTCCATCAGTTGGTCATTGTCAAGAAACATTGCAATGCCTCACTCGAATGTAAGCTGAAAGGTAACCGCTTACACTGGCTGGGTCATGTCCTACGTATAACCGTCGACCGGTTTCTTCGGCCTTCATATTACGCCATGGATGTACCAATTAGGATGAAACTGTAAAGTGGCCAGTCGATGAAATGATATAGCAGAATGAAGAAATTGACTAAGAGACTTGGACAAGACGGCGAATGCGGTCTTCGGGATAGTCCGCAAGAATGGTTGGAGACTCCACCGGACATGGCGCTCCTGCATACGGTTTCTTGCATACAGCCGCTAATTTTCATTCCAACCCCATTTGTCTGACAAACTTCTTCAATGATTTCATTTTCTTTGTATTCTATCTCATTTTCTTACAGCTTTTATTGATTGTTATTCTGGCGAATTGCGTCTTGGCAACTGAATCTACAACACCTCGTTGTTGGAAGTATAATGGTTCAATCGAAGGGAACGAAATCAGCATTTTTATATATGGCATAAAACAATTTATTTCTAACTACTCGCCTCAGCTTAAGTACCAGCTCTGGAGATGTATGAAGCATATATGGGCCGAGTGCAACAAAAGAACCTGGAGTAATCCCACGGTTGATCACAAAGCACAGTGCTAAAAGTGATTTATTTATGAATCAATTAACGTCGCTTTAATCGATGGGCGGGGAACTGTTGATACGAATGGTCAGATCATTTGGAGATTCAAATAATGACTACATTCCAATTGAATCAAGTCACCACATGCTTCTAAGCTCATAACGTAGTTAGTGTATGGAGACGTTAGGAAAACGGGTGATAAAAACAGTTCTACGAAATTTGTAATATTCGAGAGCGGCTGCCAAGAAACACAAAGCGATGATTGTTGCGCCACTGGATTTCTCTATAAACAGCGACCAACATAAGGTTGCTGTGACGACGACTGGTGATTTGGGCGAACGAACCCGAAACAGTGTTTGCGAACAGAAGGCCAATCAAGTGCCACCCACTCGAGCCGAAAATGATGGCGTGGACCGGATGGACAGAATTGATGTTGCTCCGTATGGACAAAGCGCAGGCATGGTTTCACACAGACAGTGATGGGAGTGAATTCGACCGGACCGAAGTAAACGAATGGCGCTGAAGCCAACAAACAGGCCAACGATGTGGGGGAGGGGGATGATAACGGCGGTTCAACTGAGCGAAATGAACAGAGGTGGGGGCATACAGCCGATAAAAAGCCATCCATGCGAGCTAATCAGGAAGGTGCACGTGCCGGAGGGACAGTGCGGAATTGTTGAGGCATACAATGAACGAAGATCAACGTGATTTCAGACTAGACGAATAGTGAGGAGTGGAACAAATGCGATGACTAACGAAAGCAAACAGATGGCACAGGACAAACGACCAGAGCTAGGCAGATGAAAGCAGTGGTAACGGAATAGTGATGAGATGCTATCTACGATTTGTCACCAACAAAATTACACATTGGCTGAAGGTGAGAAACACACACTTAAGTATTGTGCCACAATAGAAAAAATAAGTTGGGAAAAAACGGGATACTAAACATTACAGAATACAAAAATAACTAAATAACATTGATATAATGCAGTGTTGAATTATCCATTCAGCGTGAGAGTGTTGTTGGGGGGGGAGAAGCTAAAGGAGAGGATGGACAAAGAAACTCACAACACAAACGGCATTGAGGCCGACTCTTCGCCAAGTCGATTAGTGTATCCAACCAAACGTGTTCATCACCCGTGGGGCCCTAACCCAGAAGATGAGAAATACCAGTGAACAATTTTTCAGTTTGGGCATTCAGATCACTAGCCAGCACCACAGCATCCATAAGTTTTCTGTATCGAAAAGGCTCGTTCATTATGTGACAGAAGTCATCTCACCGAGGCAGCGCAACAATTTGTGGAGGCGTGGGCAACAACGACAAAAAAGCACCGAGACTTTGAAGCTTTGAACGAGCCAGCCAATCTGATAGCGCACATCCGGCTGTTGACTGGGATCCAATCGCTCAGGGCAGCTTCAGCCCGCGGCCTAAGAGCAAGCCCCGAACTGGTTTGACCGCATTTGAAGCCACGTCAGCTCCGGACAACTGCACCGAGAAAATACCGCCAGCATCGCGCGTTGGAGATCGCAGCGTAATCACTCGACTCATGCAGGCGAGTTTCTGATAAGCAGGAGATATCGATAGTTAAAGTCTGCAGTGTTCGGGCAAGTTGGCCATTCTGTACCAAATTGCGCACATTGAGGCATGCCCATGTGAGGGACGTTCGAGAGCTCCAAATAGAAACAGATGAATTGATGTTGGTTTGCCTGGAGATGAACTTGTCGTCTAGACGGGAGCGACGCTCCGTGATTGCGTGAGTAGAAAGTAGAAGATAAACAATTATTGAATCAAAATGGGGGAGGACCAAGGGTTGGGGAGTTGAAAACAGGGAAAAAGTGAAGTTAGAACGGGACGATAGCGATGAAAAAGCGCGAGAGAAGAAGGAAGACGGGATGGCTTGAGCAGTAGCATCCAAAACCCTATCCACTCCGCTCGAGGCAGCAGATAGGGTGCCGTTAATTAGCCTCTGTGACGGCCAAAGCAACAAGAAATGGTCTGAAGGTAAAGTCTTTGCATTGTGCGAGCAAGACGCCGTCAAGTTGCTCTGGCCTAGACAGGAGAACAATTAAAGTGTTCAAAACGTTTGGTGTAAAAATCCGATCACAAGGTAGCAGGGTTTTGGAGCAAGGAGCCCCCTTATTCCAACCCCGACCTGAAGGACCAGGAAACTGAGTTTGTCAGGCCTCTAACCCTTGTACAATCTGGGAAGAGTGGCTCTGAAGGTGCACCACCCAGTATAGCTCAATGGATCATTGAGGCACGCAAAGTATCGCACCACGTTAAGTATCGTCGCGATGACATCTACGGTATAAGTGCATCATTGTTCATAGATAACGGATTTTTCGATCGCTGCCCAAACTTCGTTTTCACTCTCGGAGAGCTACTGGACACCCGTGTTAAATCCCTGTTTACAACCTTCTAAAACATCCATGTTTTCCGAAATCGTACTTCCCAGCTGACACATACGCCTTGAACATTGTCACTACGCCCATTCAGCATACCTCGTGAGCTACACCACGTGATCCACATACAGACGTTAAAACAGCATTTGACCTCTATCCATGAGCACACGGCGCGACCAAGCACATCCGATCACAAAACAGATATACTTATGCCGCATCAAGACGCATCACACACAACTGGACGTCTGGATAACGGAGTCGCACGAATTCGTCTAGGCACTCAGGGCTCGCCGAAACCGTCGTATGCAACCGCACCGGATCTGACTTGCACTGACAGCCATTATACCAACATGCGACAAGTTTTGCTTTATTATGTATCATTACTATGTGTACGATAGTATCAGGAATATTAGTGTCTCGATTTAAGCGGCACTAATACCCGCATACAACTGAAGAGAGCAAGCAGAAATTAAGCAGTTCATCCTTTTCAATGGGAAGGTTTTAAATATACAAAAATGCATCCACAAATCACAAAACGTGGTGGTGTCAGAGAGAGCCTGGAGACAGAAATAGAGTGTTGCTACGAAAACAAGATCGGTGTAATTTTTTGAACACAGGTGCGTGTAGTGAACGAAGTTATCGGGAATCGAACCAATAATAACCAATGGATAAGAGATCAACTCAGAATACGGTGACATGAAGGGAGTGGAGCAAAATGCAGAAATCGCTTACTCTCAGGCGGGAGGCCAAGCGGAAGACGGCCGGACAGCACAGACAAGTGAAACTCCCGATCTTGGCCACGTAGTGTTTGTGGTACGGATTGGTAGGAGGCCATTTGTGAGAGGACTTTCGAAGTTTTCTCGTGTGCATCATTCGTGTGTACGGAGCACGCCAGAAGGTAGGGCGATATGGTGGCCTACGGAAATTTCGCAAATCAGATGGGCGGCGGATATTAATGTGTAAACTGCCCTCCTCGGTCTCTGCGCAGCCTTCTCCCAGAAGCTGATCCTGCGGACAAAGAAAATAATAGTCAGGACTTAGTAGGAACTAGTGACGAAAGAGGGATTTAGTGGTATACATCAAAGTACTGTAAACAACGGAACCATGGTTTGATACGGGTAAGAATGCTAATGCTTAACAGGTCCTGTAGGGTGGTTATGATGAAACTACAAAGTATAAAATAAAATTGTTATCAAAATTGGGTTTACACCAGTGAACTCACTGAAGTATACGTAGTGTAGACTGTAAATCCAAGGTAAATCCATAAGAAATGACGGCAAATGGGATGTTGGTAAAAATCGTGTCTGCTTCTGGTGTACACATACAGGAGGTGAAAAACGTAGAACGAAATCTGTGCTGGGACTCCAAGTGAAATCGCATGCAGATAAGTGCTTATCCATGAGTAATAGGTCGTGTAAGATGGTGTAGAGAAATAAGTGCAGATCAACTCGGACTTTGAACTCTGCCGTCGTGGGAGCACATATAACAGATTCCGATAAGGCATTCCACGCACCACAAACACGTACGGAAAAGAAACCCCGACGACATTCCAAGCGACGGTGTTTCCATGCTAGTTGGAGATGGTGACCTCTCATATCGCTGTTGTGACTGAGCTCTAGTGAAAAGCGGCAGGTGAGTTGGGATCTCCCAAAATTTGGGAACTCCCAGTGACGTCCCCGCGCAATCACCGATACCGTCCGCTGAAGACCCCGAGCACTTGTAGCCTTCGTTTATACAGCAAATTATACAGACCCTTGAGATTTTTGGTTACTCGGCATTGGGGTATCTCCAAAGCAATGAGATCCCTCCTCAGCCATGATTGCCAGACCTGTATTGCGTATTCCACATGTGGCCGTATGTATGAGCCGAGAAGTTGTGGAAATATCGATGGGTCGAATCGTCCAAATGCACGCGACAGGAGGCCCACATGTTGGATGCCCCTCCTAGATGCCCTTTCAGCTTGCTTCGAACATCATAGGTTAGCGTGGACAAAAATTCCCAGATCCCTCTGGCCAGAAAACGCTTAAAACTCCTGGTTGCCGAGTTGGTAGGAATGCACTAATTTGAGCCGTAGGTGCAGCACACTACATTTGTTTACATTGAATCTAAGTAGATTCTGGGTTGAAACAGCGTATACCCTACCCAGATCAGCTTGAAGTACTGTGATATCCTCTGGTGTTTTGGTCGCCCTCCGCACCTTGATGTCATCGGCATAAAGAAGGCAGTTCGAGCTTATCAGACCTGTAATATCGTTGATTTACATCAAAAATAACCGCGGTCTTAATACCGATCCCTGTGGTACTTCGCATTCAACGTGGATGGGATCTGACAGCGAATCACGCACGCGTACTTACAGGCGCCGGTGTTGAAGAAAGTTTCTGATCCATCCTAGGAGAGGATCACCAGTACCAAAGGTCTGAAGTTTGAAGAGCAGAATGTTATGGTCTAACCGGTCGAACGCCTTTGAGAAGTCAAGGAAGACTACATCAACTCATGTGCCAGAGTCTATTACTTCAGTCCAGCTGGATGGTGCAAGTAGTAGATGTGTAGTGCACGATCGATTTCGTCGAAAGCCGTGCTGTTCCGGTACGAGGTAGTTAAATTCTTTTAAGTAGGCGGTTAGCGGCAGAAATAATAGCTTCCATGACCTTTGATAGAATCGGTAGTAAGGTTATGGGACGGCAGTAGGCTGGATTGGAAGGACTACATCCCTTGCGAATAGGAGTAATCCTCCCGTGTTTTCACATGTCGGGCAGGTACATTTCTTCAAACCAGTGTCGGAAGAATCGAGCCAAAGGCTAAGCTAAATTCTCTCCTACTGCCGCTAGCGATTTCGTGTGCAAATTAGTAACTCCATGAGAGAGCTGTGCTTGCGCATACTTAACAGCTTCTTTAGTACAGCTTATGTTGTGAAGGTTATGTGAGTGAGTTTTTGGGGTAAAACAATCATCTCCAGACGGTTAGGTGGCCAGTGATCGCAATGAAATGTTGCAGCATATTGTAGGCGTAGGGTATTCACCGCCTCCTTCGATGTCCGTCCGCTGTTTGAAGAGGAGGAATTCCCCGTTTCACCTTACGTACTGTTGACGTGTTGATACAGAAGCTTGTGGCTTCAGGCCATACGCACTGCCCACTTCTGATGGTACGCCATTCTGTCCTCTCGAACAAGCTGAGTACAGTGATTACGTTGGGCCGTATAGGCCATCCAATTCTCAGTGCTTGGGGAGAGTTTGTATATATGTCAGGCTGAGTTTCGCACCGCTATACACTTGCGTGTCCTGCTTCGCAGAAACGAGATCACGTTTCTCGGGCGGAAGGTCTTAGTCGTTGACGCTTCGGTAACCAGAGCTAAACTGGCTGAAGTAATGTTCCATGCAATAGCTGGTGCCTCGTCTGCCAGAAATATCCAGTTGGCTGTCTCACCTAGTCGAGCTAATATATAGTTGGCGGCATCCGGTTTCGGATTTGCCTGTCACTGTGGCAAGCCACAGGACGCCTGCGCATATAGAGGGACCATGGATGGCTTGCGCTGCACCACCCACAGCTCCAACCACACACCCCATATCCAGTGTAAACCCGAAGGAATAAGACCGGGAGGCATGTGGATGGGAACCATGTTTCATCAACGGAGCCGGCCCACACTCCTTCACAGGCAAACACAAGCACACTGTATTTGGGAATCAAGCGCCCACACAAGGCGGTGGATGGACCGTAGTCCGCTCCACACACACTGCATGGAACCACTCTTTGATCCTAACACGGCCACAAGGACCGTGCACCCTGTTCCCTCCAGCAACGACCAACTGTCTCCTGGAGCCAGTATGGACGAGGTAGTGGGTAATAGACAGGTAGGCACCTTGTCAACATGCACATCCACACCGGGGATATCAAACAACAGCCAAACACTTGAAAGAGAGAAAGAAAAAGAGAGAAAAACTCGATTAATGCATAAGGAAACGGTGATATAAACCTTAATTAAATAGCATATGTAATAAGTTGATTACAAACAACTCCTAGCTAAGTGCACGAGGTCAGAAAGTTTAGTTCACGGAATGCCACGAACGCAAAAATGTTATGGAAATCGAATACAACTGGCTTAAGCGATGTGTGCAAGTTAATGAAATAGAGTACAGGGAGATATTTATATGAGAAAGAAAAGCATTATGGTAAAAACTGTAAACCCACCACCTGAAATAAAGAGACTTAGCATGCAAGCACGCGGTTAGTAAATCGAATTCAGCGTGCCTACAAACGCTGTGCCGGCTCGCCGTAATTCTCTGTAGAACCCGTCGTCGCTTCTGTACTGGTCCCTAATGACATAGCTCATGGCCCGCTAGACATTTATATGAGAAAGAAAGGCATTAGGACAGAACCGAAAACCCACCACCTGAAATAAAGAGACTTAGCATGCAAGCATGCGGTTAGTAAACCGAATTCAGCGTGCCTACAAACGCTGCGCCGGTGCTGCCTACGTTCACTGCGGGACCCGTCGTCGCTTCGGCAGTGGTCCCGAGTGACCTCTCTCATGGCTCACTAGGTCTGCCTGACTAAGGCACTCCCGACCGCATGTGCTACAGCACCATGCGCTCGATGTCGATGGAGTACAATTCATCGGTGCTTGCCGCTTCCGCAACTGCCGCTTCTTCTCTGCATGCATGAGGGCTTTCTCCCGCACTTCAGCAACTGCCTTCGTGATTAGATCGCGCCATGCACGCCGATCAACCGCCTTCGATTCCCATGATTTGCAATCAAGATTAGAACGTGCGAGGCTAATATGTCCTAGCGTACATACATTCCGCTTGCGTCAGTAATTTCCAGGGGATATTCTGCATAGCAAATGTACTGCCTGATCGCTGCGGCCCAATGGGACTTAGACGATCACCCTCTCGACCATTAGTTCTTCGTTGGTGAATATACGATCCAGTATCGAAGGCTTATCTTCTTCTCGGAATAGGGTGGGAGTGTTGATATGGCCATACAGCGGGTAACTGGAGACGAACTCTTGTAGATCGGCATTAAACGGTTCTCCGGGAGATGTTTGGGATTCCAGAGGGTGGATGTTGAAATCGCCATTAATGAGCATGTGACTGTAAGTTGTGTTTATCACCGTCCTTATTGCGGATGCCAGATGGGAGTCCATCTCTGGGGTGGAAGGAGGACGGTAAATGACCGCCAATAAGCAATTGTCGTCGCTTTTTAAACGTAGACGACAACAAAGGAAATCTTGCATCCTGCTGACTGGATCCTCTATGAGCTCACATTGAAGGTCATTGTGGAAGTACAGAGCCATCCCACCACCTTTGCTGGGACGGTCGTGCTGAACAATGGACATGCCTGGCAGCGCGATCGCTATGTCACTTATGTCAGGGTGTAACCATGTCTGCGGTATAGTGATGAGGTCGCAGGCTTGGGATCCTTGACGCAGAGGCAATTCGGAAAGTTTACTCATTAAGCCTTGAGCGTTGGTGTACGTACAAGAAAGCTTCTCGGACGTCAAAAGCTGTTGACTAGGAGCACATGAATGATGTAGATTTGAGCCGACAAATGAAAGGCCCGCACCTAACCGTTTTTTGGGTGAATTGCCGGATCTCGATAGGAATGTAATCAGTTTTTGGTCCCACTTGCATCTGCGGTATGTAGTCCACCGGCAGTCTTCTCGATATCTACGGGTCATAGCGCACAAGTTTCTGAATTGTTGTTGTGGCTATATTGAGTCGCGGGTGGTGTCGTTTCCGCGAAAACAGCGAGTCGCTGCGGCTCTCTAACTGCTGTCTTCAGTCGCATTTCCGAGGGAAGTATGTTGCCCAGTAACTGCCAGCTACGGATTAAATTCACGGCCATCTGTTGTGATTGCACTGTCAGTTTCAGTATCTTCAGGCCACTGCCTCTGTAGTTTGGCGACACGGGTAACTGTGTAATCGACTGAAGTATGACGTCGCATGCACTGAGAGCCTCACGGAGGTAACGTCATTCTTCCAGGTTATGAGCATGGGCTTCAACCTTGCTGG